AAGAGGAAAAATCACCTGGATAATCCTCACAGGCTCTAAATAACCAAGGAGATCTTTAAAGGCTTCTGCATAAAGGGCTGCCTTGACCTGGTGCAGAAAAGATGGAAAGTTTGGCAGCATGAGGGCCGCAGAAGAGAGGCTGTTTCATAGCTGTGGAGCCACTGCAGAAAAGGCCCTCCCTGTTGCTGCCGCCCTCCGAGAGGAAGCCTCAACAACCGAGCGCAGTGTCCGAGTAGATTGCAGACGGGAGAGGTATTCTGAGGCAATGTACAGGTTAATAGGTTGGGACCGGGACCTGGAAGCATAAGGTGTCCAGTGCAGGTGGGCCAGAACTGCTCTGATATGTTATAATTTGTCCAAGAACAGCAGAAGGAACAAGAAGGGAGGTGGAGTCAACCTATTTGTAAGGATGCGTCTCTCTGCACAGAAATACAGGAAGATAAGCTTCGTAGTTCCATTGAGGGCATCAGGAAAAACAATGCGCCAAAGAATAAAAGCAACCTGGAGTATACCACTCCTTGAGTGCTCAGTCCGGAAGGATGAAACTTTTGAAAGAAAATTGGCAATGTTGAACGAAGCGTTCCTTAGTAACAGAGACTTCAATTTCCCGACACCTGTTCAGAAAGTTTCTTCCAATCCTGTTCCCTCCAGGCAATTCCTGACTTGTGCTGATAACTTCCTCCTATATAAAGTGGAAGAAGGAGCTAGAGGATTGTCCTCCCTTGAAACGATACTTTGAAAAAGCCTTTTTCAGATACATACATAGTAAACACAGGAGGACAAAATGGCGGGGAGGGCAACGCGATAATGGATGGGAAAGGAAAGGCAGAGGTGCTCAGTTCCTACTTCGGCTCAGCCTGTTCAGTCTGTGATCTCCTGGGCAGAGGTGAAGAAGAAGCTCATGGGGGCAGGACTGCCGCTCGATATTGGTGGCAGATGGTCAAGGAACGCCTTATTACACTGAACAAGTTCAAATCTCCAGGACCTGATGAATTGCATCGTAGAGTAATAACGAAACTGGCAGAAGAACACTCAGGGGCTTGGCCTATTCGATCTAAGAAGTCATTCAGGAGAGATGAGGTGCCAGAGGACTGAAATGCCAGCTGCCCTGACCTTCCAAAGGGGAAAAAAAATCTGACATCCATCCCAGGAAAGGTCCTGGGCAGATTACAAAGCAGTCAGTCAGCAAATATCTTAAAACGAGGCAGTGACTGCTGGAAGCCAACATGGATCGTTGAGGACAAATCCTGCCGTCTAATTTGGTTTTGTTTTTTGATTGGGTAAGCTCCCTGGTGGATTGTGGAAAAGCTGTGGGCAAAATATATCTTGACTTGAGCAAAGCTTTTGAGAAAGGGCCCCACGATCTCTTGATTAGCAAACTCACTAACAGTGGGCCAGGTGGGACAGGCATTCAGAGGATCCACGGCTGGCTGCAGGATCGGACTCAAAGCGTGCGCATCAGTGGCACCTTCTCAAACTGGGGGGAGGCAAAAAGTGGGGCGCTGCAGGGTTCAGTCCGGGGCCCAGTGCTTGTCAACATGTTCGTTAACGACTTGGATCAGAAAGCGCAGGGAACGATGATCAGATATGCAGCTGACACAAAACTGGATGGGATAGTGAATCCCCTGGAAGACAGAGAAGGTATTGAAAGGCTGGGGTGCTGGGCTGAAAACAGCAGAATAAATTCAATAGGGGCAAATGTCCGGTTCTGCACCCAGGGAAAAGAAACCAAATGCACATTTACAAGATGGGGGATACTTGGCTCGACAAGACAGCAAGCGAGAAGAATCTTGGAATTGCTGCAGATGGCAAGCTGAATATGAGCTGGCAAGTTGACGAGGCTGCAAAAAGGGCCAACGCTATTTTGGGCTGCCCGGGCAGAAGTCTCACTTCCAAATCCAGCCAAGGAAAAGTTCCCCTTTTCTCTGCACGTGTTGGGCCTCACCTGGAGTCCTGTGTCCAGCTCTGGAAACTGCAGCTTAAGAAAGATGCAGGCAAGCTGGGAAGGGTTCAGGGGAGGGCAGTGAAGAGAGTTCAGGCCCCATGAGGAGAAACCGGAGGAAGTGGGCATGTTCGACGTTGATGCATTCGAGATGCGTCAGTCAGGGGTGCTTTGAGTGCATTGAGCGAGAGGTTGCTCCCGATGGCCCTGCGAGCCCCTTTCCACCCCAGTATTCCATGGTTCTGTGGAAAGTCCAGAGTTTCACTTTGAAACTGTATGGTCAGATGTGATGTGAAATGCCCATATTTCACAGGGGGCTCTTCCTGCCTTTCCCCTTTCTCTTTGGACCTTCACTGTAAACTAGAAACCCATTGTTTTCTCTGGTTCATCTCAGCAACAGACTTTTAGGGCAAGCCAGCCTTATGGGAAGCAAAGTTCCACTAGATTTAGGGGTGCACTCCTGTTGGGTACAATTTTCTGCCTCACTGCATCACACATGTTTCATGAAGGGGGGCCCGGGTTGGTTCATCGGAAATATTTTGCTTCGCTTTGTCTTGGTATTCTTCAAAAGCTGTTTACCACTCATGGTTCCAATTAAAAAATTGTTGCATTCAGTTGTGGAATAAAAATGGCCTTTACATTTATGCAGATGGATGTACAGGCATACATACAGCTTAACCTGAAAGGAAAGCCTTCTCAGTGGTGGCCCCCACAAAATGGAGCAACCTTTCCATTGAGGGCTGCCTGGCAACACTGCCCTCTTCGTGGCACCAGGTTAGGACTGCCTCATATTTTTATTTTATTTTATTTATTTATTTATTTATTAAAATATTTTTATGCCGCCCCATTCGCTGAAGCCTCGGGGCGGCTTATATTCCCAGATATTTACTGGCATATGATGAGACATGTCAGCTGATTTATCAGATGTCATTTTTAGTGAAATTGTTTTAGTTGTTCAACATGTTTTAAATTGTGCATATTGTAATTTCACACTGTATTTTAATGTGTTTGCATTTTTTTTTTTTTTGTTGAGCCTATGCTTACGAATTTGACCATGGGATGGTATAGACATCATGGTTGTTGTCCTTGCAAGTAAGAACCCCACAGCACGTGAGAAAGAAAGATTGGAGCGGAGAAGGAAACAGCCAGGAACAATCTGTGGAAGGAAAGGTGGCAGTTTGGGGTTTCCCATAACTTGGAAGGCTGTTGCTTCAGGCTATATGCTCTAAAGGTCCACTAAAAAGGCAAGGCTGGGCCGGTCACCAGAACATGCTGAGCTCCAAGCAGAAGCCCCGGCTTGTATCCAGGCAGATGCTGCTTTTAGAGGGCATCTCAGAAGATCCAGGACACTCGCCCAGGTGTGACCTGACTTCCCACGGATGCCCGTGGACCATTCTCTGAGCCATGATGCTGAGGAGACAAAGGGTTTAGCAGGCTGTCTTCTTGGAAACAAAAATTTGTACCAGAAGGGGGGAAAAGTAGAACTCAGTTGTACTGATTGCAGGAACAATCCATTTGTACTTGAGCTGTCCACAGAATCATCCATTTGGTCTAAGCATTTGCTCTGCCAGGCAATCTTGGGGAGCAATGCCGTAAGCCATCCCAAGATGCTAGTGGCGGACGGGTTAGAAAAGCAAGCAAGCAAGCAAGCAAGCAAGCAAGCAAGCAAGCAAGCAAGCAAGAAGACACCCCTCCAGATCGCCTTGAAAGGTCTGGGATTGTTGCTGAGGTTTAATGAGGACTCCCTGAGCGAGAGCATGCCCTCATTCTGCATTCTCACAAACACACACGGCACGTGGAAGGGAAAGTTTATTCAGCAGAGAATACAGAGCAGGCGCAAGGTTTGGACCTGATGTTGTTTGGGCAGAAAATATTCCGATGGCATCCCAAGATTAATCTGTATTTTTAAAGAGATAAAGAGCTTACTGCCTAAGAAAGAGAGAAACGAGGAGAGCGAGAGAGCGAGGAAGAGTCTGCTACCCATCTTGAAGGGTAAACTCTTGACAGCCGTCCTTTGTATGGACACAAAGGGGGCAAGTCACCCCCAGCCTGACATGCCAGGCGGGGTTCAGAGCTTGCCTACTTTCATTTCCAACAACCCTGTGAGGCAGGCTGGGCTGAGAGGGTGCGGCCTGCCCCGAGTTACCCAGCAGGCTCCGTGGCTGAGCGGGGACTCGAACCCAGACCACCTGGGTCCCAGCCCAACACGCCCGGCAACACACCACATGGACCAACTGAGCCCAGTTTCCCTCTTCCCCCTCTCTTTCCTCTCTTACCTGATCCCTTTTTCAGGTTCCACTGCACCTGCCACTTTTTCCCTCCGCACAGGATCCTCCTGCCTTTTGTCCTCTTAGCTGTGATGGACTCACAATCTGATCTGCGCCCTTCTGCGCCGTGTTGCCTGCACTCCGTGCCTTGCACAGAATCAAGGACACCTGCAGCAAGGGTGGGTGTCAGCCTCTCCGAAGGCAGAAGCCCCTCTTGAGTGCAAGGCAAAGGGCTGCAGCACTCCTTCCATCCCGGCCCATCCCTGGAGGTTGCAGCTGGCCAGCACAGGACTGAAGCAAAAGAGAAGGGAGGATTTGCTTTCAGTTGGCTTTATTTAATTATCATATGAAAACGTCAGCAGTTGCTACATGCACGAGGCTACCCAGTGTTCTCTGTTAGCCGGCCAGAGGCCTTCGAAGCCATTTACAGATCTGCGTTTGGTCCGGTGAGGACCTCCGTGGCTTGATTTCACGAATGGCGCAAGTTCACGGTGCCCGGGACAGCCCCCTCTGCAGAGCCCCCTGCAGACGGTGGAAGCTGTATTCAGAGGAAAGGAAGCGGCCTCAGACCTGCAGTCCCAGGCCCTGTGGGCGCAGCCATTTCTCCAGCTCCTCTGGAGGCAGAACAGGGGTCCTGGAGGTGCGGAAGGGAAGCGGGCTGGGAGGTGGAGCCGAAGGACTCACCACTTTCCCAGCCTCAATCCCCCCAACAATCAATGCTTTCACTGGAGTAAGTCTTCCCTATTTGTGGAGAACCTGTAAATGGAGAGAGAGATGGAGGGAGGTGTGGGGAGAGAGAGAGAGAGAGAGAGAGAGAGAGAACACACAACTACACAGTTTCCGCTTTGAGCCTGTTTTCGATCATTGGGAGTAGACGGAACCAGAAATGAATGGAAACCGTTCATCGCCCTTCCTGTCTAAGGTACACAGTACTCCCACTTGCTACCGGAATTGTCAACGTAACACCACGTGTATGAGTACCCGCGCTGATCACAGCGGTGCAGTGGTGAGCAGCAGTATTCCCAGTTGTCTTTGTAGTCTGTGTAGCACCAGTAGTAGCTTTCGTCATAAAGGCCGCAGGGGTGATCCGCACGGCAGGGCTCCCCGTTGATCGCGACGGCCGAGTACTGTGGCGAGCAAGTCACGGTTCGGTCTCCCGCCCAGCACTGGTACTTCTCCGCGGTTCTGTCGTAGGCGCACTTGCCGCCGCAGCAGTAGTCCCAGTCCGAAGAGTACGAGGTCGAGCACCACATGTATTTTGTCCCGCTGTGATAGTCACAGTTTTGCCAGACACACCCCCACCCCTTGGCCGAGACGGGGGAGCCAACCTCGCCCTTCTGGTCCTCCAGTGTGCACACTTTGGGCAGAAATGGTTCTGTTGCCCTCCGGACTCTGGAAATTCCCCGAACAGAGGAGAGAACGCAGGCCAAGTTCTCCTTGGGAGGGAAATTTGTCGCAAAGCGATCCCAGTCATGTAGGTTTTTAAAGCCGAAAGAGAAATCAACATTGGTCAGCCGAAGAGAAGTTTGGTTGACATCCATGCTTGTTGTTGCCACTTGTGTGTTTTGATCCAGCGTGTTCCTTTGCGATTCAGAAAGCATCAGAAGGTAATTGTTTTCAATCAGATCTCTAAAGCCTTTAAACAAGGCATGGTAGATCACATTTAAAACATCTCTGCCTTTTTGGTTGTCTGCATTACAGTCATCAGCAAATATTTGTACGGGTTTATTGTACAGTCCTTCGAGGAAACCTTCCAATTCACTCACTTTTAAAATACGCATCAGTGATTCCTCCCTATTTTCTGCCAGAAATGCAAAGGAGAATTTGAGATTCTGGTTTGCGTTGTCACAGCAAACGGCGGTCCAGATGTGGCTGGGAACAGACACCCTCTTATATTCTCTGATGCGGTCACGTTCAGTATCATAAACAGGGTCGGGGATTCTCTCTGCGGGGTCAGGAACAGTGCCAGTCACCAGGTAGGGGGTCCCTGGGCAGGAAATGGTCAGCTGGTCCTTCAGGGCGACCTCCAGTCTGGACCATCGGACCCGGTTGAAGCAGGGATCCATGGGCACAGCGTTGGTCAGCGTGAAGGTGGCATTGCGACTCGCGTCACACTGGAACAAGTTGGGGTTCAGGTGTCCGCGGTCGAAAGTTGTGCTTTCATAATCGATGGAGATGGCCTGGTTTTGTTTCAGTTGATCTCTTGACAGATTGGATGCAGCCTCGGTGAGCATATTTGGCGATGCAGTTGGAACAGTGAGCTGTTTGAAGGAAGGACCCATGAGCGATCAATACCAACCAATAGCACACGCAGTCTGGTTTGGATGCTTATCATGAAACATCTCCTTCTCCACTTTCTCCACACAATGCATTGTTTTAAACACCTCTCTCCCTGTCTCCCCTCCTGCATCGTTTTTCTACGCTGCGCAGTTTTAGTGCTCATAGCCATTCCATCCCCTTCATCATGTTTGTCGGTCCTCTCTGTACTTTTTCCATCTCAGTTATGTCCCTTTTCAGGTAAGGTGACCATAATTATATTCAGTATTCTAAGTGCAGTCAAACCAAAGATTTGTATGAGGGGAATGTGAGCTTGGTAGTTCTATGTTCTTTTCTGTTCCTAATTATTCCGTACCCGGAGTTGGGATTTTCATCCCTGCTGCGCACTGGGCTGACATTTTCAATGAGCTGCCCACTTCCTGCCGCCCCAAGATCCCTTTCCCACTCAGTCACTGCTTGGCTCAGATCCCATCAGCATATTCCTGAACCTGGGATTTTTGCCCGCAAATGTGCCGCATCGCACCTGCCCATCCTGAGCTGCAAATGGATCGCTGTGACTCGTGAGTAGCACATGGACACGTTATCGATGCAAATAGCATCTTTGTATATTTGGCTCCTGGTAATGTCTGGCTGTGGGAGCTGGACCGTAAGGAAGCTGAGCACTGAAGAACTGATACTTTTGAACTGTGGTGCTGGAGGAGATTCCTAAGAGTCCCTTGGACTGCAAGGAGATCAGATCATTCGGTCCTAGAGGAGATCAACCCCGGCTGCTCTTTAGAAGGTCAGCTACTAAAGCTGATGCTCAAATACTTTGGCCACCTAATGAGAAGGAAGGACTCCCTGGAGAAGACCCTGACGCTGGGAACAATTGACGGCAAAAGGAGAAGGGGACAGCCGGTGCTTTTTTTGTTAAAAAAAAAAAAAGTGCCAGAATTCACATCTTGGGGTCACACTTTTACACTAAAAAAGATTTTCAATTCACCAACTTTTTTTTGAAATAAAGAACTTATTTACCTTTTGCATGTAGCCAGTCACTCTACACACACATAAACATAATGGTTGCCGCCGGCAGTGAGCACTCAGCGCGCGACCACACGACCGATCCCAAGCCGAGCAGCGTCCCAAGCCAAGCAGTGCTCTCACAATTGGCGCCGACACACAAGCATCCCGCAGGCACGATGTTAATGATTTTTGCCACCGACCTGCTACACCTGACAGGGCGATTCACAATCCCTTGGAAAAATCCGTCAAAAAAAGGTGCCGGAACGCCGTTCTGGTGCGTTCTATGACAAAAAAAGCCCTGGGGATGGCAGAGGTTGAGGTGGCTGGGTGAAGTCCCTGTAGAGGTGGGTGTGGGGTTGGGTGTACTCTGGGGGATGGTGGAGGACAGGAGAGCCTGGAGAAATGTTGCCCATGGGGTCACGAAGAGTCTGGCATGACTTTGCCACTGAACAACATCATCAACAACAGCATTTAACTCCTGCTATTTTTTTAAATTTACATATCAATATGCATTAGTATATAATTTCAAGTACTATGTCCAGTTGTGGGTGCCGCACTTCAAGAAAGATTCAGACACCCTGGAAAATGTTCAGAGCAGGGCAACGGGGATGATTCAGGGACTGGAAACGAAGCCCTGTGAGGAGAGATGGAAAGAACTTGACGGAAAGAGCCTTGAGTAGAGAAAATGGAAGAAGATATGATAGCACTTCCCACATATTGAGAAGTTGTCACTCAGAAGAGGGGTAGGATCTCTTCTCAATCGTCCCAGATTGCAGGGCATGAAATAATAGTCTTAAGTGGCGAGAAGCCGGATCCCAGCCGAATATCAGGAAGAACTTCCTGTCTGTGAGAGCAGTAGAACCATGGAACCCATGACCCAGGGAGGTGGTGGGCTCTTCCACACCGGAGGCATGGAAGATGCAGCTGGACAACCATCTGAGGGAGATGATATGACTTGGAGTCCCACAATGAGCAGAGAGTGCCCCTCGAGGCCCCTTCCAACTCTACTCTTCTATGATTCTTCATGATCTACTGCAAAAGTTTTGGATGTCCAAATCTGGCTGTGTAGCAGCTTTGCTTGGCAGCAGAAGCATGGAAGGAACCTTCACTTCCATGATCCCACAGCCCTGCAGAAGCCTCCAAGTTCATCTTAAGTGCATCAGGGAGAAAGTTTTGGAATTATTCTCTTGGATCACCTCAGGGTACTCACCTGGGGCTCTATGAACCATTGATTTCTTCTCCTGGGCTGACTTGGACAGGTGCCGGTAAACAAGGTATAGGCTGACCAGTACGCGATTCTGAGACCTGTATCGTACAGTGTGGCATAATGGTACACGTTATTGTATCTCTGGCAAATATTTCGCATACTGTTGCCCGCAAACCAATGTGGGGCAGTGTTCTTGTAGAAGGACCGTTTGCAGTTGTTGAAGGTCCCCACTTCAGCCAGGGCCGGCCATGCCAACAAGACGGAGACGCCCAAGAGCAAGAGGGGCCCCATGGCTTTGGAAGGAAGCCTGCCTCTGGGGATCCCTGCCCCTTTTTAACAGACTGCCTTATCTCTAAAGCCAACTTTGGGCTTCTTGCCAAGAGTGATCAAAGTGAAACAAGCCCTCCAATAATGCCAGTAAAACAAGTTTATGGGTGAGTGATCCTTATGAGATAAACCTCCAATGGCAAAAAACTGGAATTGTTACTCCATAAATACCACTAAATATTGGAGCTGAGCTTCAATGGCAATATGCACGAGGCACCACCCAAAAGAGGGGTTGCAATATATCCCCGATAATCGCAGAGGTTTTAGGAGCCAGTGACTTCAGCCTGATTCAGAACTCAGAAATACAACGTTGTCCCTCCCGTGGACACATGGGGAATCATACATGGAAGCAAAAAGAGCTGTCATGCTTGTGGCTGTGTGCTTTTGTGCCAATGGATTTTGAAAAATTTCTCCGCATCAGTGGAAATCGCAATGCATTGCAATGAATACTTTCAAAGTTTGTTTTCAGTTCTTGGGGAGTAGTCCTAGGGATTGTACCCGTGATGCCATTCAGTCCCCAAATGTACTGTCTTATGAGCTCTAGTGCAGAGCAGCACCGGGGGCGGAGGCATTCTCTACCCCCTGCAAACGCAGCCCTTTTGGCAATCCTGGTGGGCCACTTTGAAGGAGAAAGGGAGGGGAGGGGAGGGGAGGGGAGGGGAGGGGAGGGCCACCTGGATCTGTCATATGCCAGTGTCCTCGGCCCCCTGCCTTCTCCGCCCCCTCGCCTACTCGCCATGGCCTGTTTCCTGACCACAGAGATGCTGTTGGCACAGTTCTTTTCATGCCAGTGGTGAGCTGGGGAGTTGGATCGGAGGGCAGAAGCCTGGAGCTAAGCTCTCAGCTCTGTTTCTAACCTCAGATCTGGAAATGTGACTATCAGCTATAGAGAAAAAATGGCCACAGTCAATAAATAAAAACTCTTCTCTAACCAAACATGTCTAACACAAGTGTCCCGAACATCATGAAACCATCTGACCATGAAAAAAGGGCCGAAATGTTTCTACGCTGTTACATAGTTCTTGGAACTCCGTGGATGGAATGCCTTTCTGTCCAGGTGTGATCTCACGGGTTCTCCTAGACTTATTTGAGTTTCTGGATTGATGTTGCTGGATGCTGCCTGTTGGTACAGTATTTAGACATTTCGGGGTCACGGCACCTAATCTCAGAATCCACAGAACCTTCTTCAGGAATTCCTTTGAGAAACACCCCTCCCTCTTCAGTATAGTCACATGTTCAGTAGCCCCTGAATTAGAGCACAATCCACTGGGTGTTAAGACAAAGAGGTCCTGAACATGCCAGCATTTCGTAGCCAGCAGTGATAGTGGTGAAAATGGTGTTGCAGTGCATTGCACAAGCATAATGAGCAACTCCTTGTGCAAAATAAGTTTTGCACAAGGAGTTGCTTATTTGGAAAGAAAGATTTGGATGTTATTTGCCTTCTTCATGTCGTTTGCTTTTGGCAGATGGTAGTGTTGGAAACGACCCTTTGGTACCATCACTAAAAATCTTAGGGTTGCAGCTTCAGAATCTGTGCAGCCTTCCTCCCCAGGAATAGCCTAGAAATGTCCCGTCCTCCTCACTTGACAGAGGAGGTCCTAAGCCTGCCAGTGTTCCCCAGTGAGCCGGGCCCTCCATGTCCCTGGATGTCCAAAGACAAGCAAGGAATAAGGCATTGCAGGTGCAAAGATGAACAAGTATGTAGTTTTGCCTTCAGGGAAGCTGCTTGTGCAACAGAAAATCCTGGCACGGTTCCATTACTCTCATGCAAACTGGTGGAATGGTAATATTTGATATTGCCCATTGATAAAACCATTTAGAATTTTGGAATTCCTGGAAGAAAAGAATGCTGGGAGTTTGGGGATCATTTCCATCTAAATGTGCATAGGATTTCGCCCTTCTTATATTTCCATATCTCCAGAGAAGCAAGGAACAGGATGTTGGAGGGTTGAAAATGGACAAGGCTGTAGTGCAGCCTTCACCAAAGCCAGTAAGTCCATCTAAAGGAGGACCTAGGAACCCTGCCATGTTCGGGAAGATATATCTGTTTTACAAGAAAATGCCAACAGCCTAGTAATATCAGGAATGTTGTGTTGCAAAGTGTCACAAGCTGGATTGTGGAAGGGGCATCACCTGCAACCTTCTTCCAAGTGGGAGATGACCCATCACTCCATGTTCTTGTGGACATTGCACAAGGTGCAAAAATGCACTCAAGATAATGTTTTGTGGTGATTGCCACAGCCAATGAAACGATTTGTGCTCGGATTTTGCAACCTGTGCTACCCCTTGCATGGTTTACATTGCAAAATGTCCTCATAAGTTGTTTTAGGTTGGAATGGCTACATGTAACCCCAAAAAGGGGTCAGTGATGGAACTGCGGGTAGCTTTGAAATCCCAACTTTGTGAAAAGTTGGACTCTAATGGATAAATTTTGAACCCAGCTCTTGCCTTAGAATCTTTTGGATGAAAACAGTGGGAAGAGGAACGTCTTATGGAAAAACATGTCCTGCAGCTGAGATTAAGGCAAGTGGTGCATTTAGCAAGGGAGAGCAGGACATCAGTCCGAGGGAACATTCTGGAACAGATAATAAAGGAATCAGCTTGCAAGCACCTCGGAGACAATGGAGCATTTACTGGAAGCCACCATGGATTGATCAAGAACAAATCTTGCCGGACTAATTTGATCTCACTTTCTGCTTGGGTAACTTCCCTTGTGTAGCGTGGGAATGCTGTGAACATAACACAGTGTGACTTCAGCCAAGCTTTTGGTGAAGTTCCCCGTGAAGCCCTGATTAGCAAACTAGCTAAATGTGGACTGGATGGAACAACCATTAGGCAGATCCACAGCTGGTCCCAAAGAGTGCTCATGAATGGCAGCTTCTCCAACTGGGGGATGAGTGGGGTACGGCAGGTCTCAATCCTGCGCTGAGTGTTCGTCAACATTTTTATGGATGAGTTGGAGGGGTGCTGGTCACCATCGCAGATGACACAAAACTGGGTGGGGTAGTGAATATCCTGGAACGCAGCCAAAGGTTTCAGTGATCTTGAGTGGAGCAGGAATGCCAGGTTGAAAGCAACAGGCTGAAATTCAACAGGGGCAAATGCCAAGTTCTGCACGTCAGGAAAATGCATCATTACAAGATGGGGGATAATTGGCTCAGTTACTCCTGCAAGTGAGAAGGATCTTGGAATAGTTATAGATCACAAGCAGAAGATGCAGCAAGATGCTCTTTTGGGCTGCATTAATGGAAGTACCACTTCCAAATCCTGTGAAGTACCAGTTCTCCTTTACTCAGCACTGGCTGAGCCCCATCTTTCCACACCAGAAGTGAGACAGGGATCGGGGTACAGAAACCCAGTACTGACATTGCAGCTCTGCCTCTAACCTGGCATCCAAGAATCTGAATTATTCTCTTGCTCCCAAGACATTGTCTGTGAGCTATACAGAAAAAAGTAACTTGCCGAAATGCTTCTACACTTCCAAATACTACCTGGAACTCTGTGCATGGAATGCCTTCGTGCGAGCTCTCTGGCTGCCACCTATGACCACGCAGGGCTAGCAGCGCCAACTCCCCAGCCACTGATAAATCTGCTTTCTGCAGATGACAGGCGCTGCTTGCAGCCTGGATGGGTGGGCTGGCCACGTGTGGGTCACCAGTGTTAGATCCTGCCCTCTGTTTGAGGCAAAACCTTACTGACTGCTCAAAGCACAGAGGGGGGAGGTTGCTAGCCAGTTGCTCCTTGCTGAAGTTCCTTCTCTGAGTCTCAGCTCTTAATCAGAGCAAGGTATTCGCCTCTCTCATTCTATTAGTGCAAAGGATGTTATGAAAGCAGAAACTCGTTTCCACACTAGGCACAAGAGGAGAATCCAGCTATCGTATTTGTACATTGTGCCTGTGAAAGTGCTTGTGGAACTAGCTGCACCTAACTCTTGTGCAACCAGTTGTGGAAACGGATTGCTCGAACATAATGAGCAATTCCTTGTGCAACAGAAAGATTTCGAAGGTCCTTCTCCAAGTTATTTGCCTTTGGCGGTTGGTATTGTTGGAGACAACCCTTTGGTATAATCACTGAGAAATCTTAGGGTTGCAGCTTCAGAATCTGCGCAGCCTTCCTCCCCAGGAATACCCTAGAAATGTCCCGTCCTCCTCACTCGACAGTGGAGGTCCTAAGCCTGCCAGCGTTCCCCAGTGAGCCGGGCCCTCCATGTCCCTGGATGTCCAAAGACAAGCAAGGAATAAGGCATTGCAGGTGCAAAGATGAACAAGTATGTAGTTTTGCCTTCAGGGAAGCCGCTTGTGCAACAGAAAATCCTGGCACGGTTCCATTACTCTCATGCAAACTGGTGGAATGGTAATATTTGATATTGCCCATTGATAAAACCATTTAGAATTTTGGAATTCCTAGAAGAAAAGAATGCTGGGAGTTTGGGGGTCATTTCCATCTAAATGTGCATAGGATTTCGCCCTTCTTATATTTCCATATCTCCAGAGAAGCAAGGAACAGGATGTTGGAGGGTTGAAAATGGACAAGGCTGTAGTGCAGCCTTCACCGAAGCCAATAAGTCCATCTAAAGGAGGACCTAGAAACCCTACCATGTTCGGGAAGATATATCTGTTTTACAAGAAAATGCCAACAGCCTAGTAATATCAGGAATGTTGTGTTGCAAAGTGTCACAAGCTGGAATGTGGAAGGGGCATCACCTGCAACCTTCCTCCAAGTGGGAGATGACCCATGACTCCACGTTCTTGTGGACATTGCACAAGGTGCAAAAATGCATTCAAGATCATGTTTTGTGGTGATTGCCACAGCCAATGAAATGATTTGTGCTCGGATTTTGCAACCTGTGCTACCCCTTGCATGGTTTACATTGCAAAATGTCCTCATAAGTTGTTTTAGGTTGGAATTAGGAAGGCGGGAGAGACGGGGGGAAAGGGAGTCCATCGCCTGCCATGTAGTGGAGACTTCCAACAGCAGTCCTTTTGTGCGAGTGGGAGGGCGCAAGCTGCCCAGTGGAGGGGGTGCGAGGCCTGCGCTCAGAGCCAGCCCTGCTTGCATTCCGAGCTGCTGTGTGCGTTTCTTTTTCCAACTCTCTGATTTTTATGCTATTTCTCTTTGTACGTGTGTCCATGGGAAAGATGACTTTCCGAGATGTGTTGGAGGGGTGCTTGATTGCTTCCTGATGACCTTAATGACTGCTTCTCTGGGTAAGAGGCTGACTTCCTCATGCGTGTTTTCTAGGTCCTGTGGATGAGGTGTCGTCTAAGTGTCTCGGGCAATGGGCCGTCCTCCTTGTTGGCTTGTCTTACCTAATCTCCCTAATGGGCGAATGTCTGACTTTTTCTCCACAAGAATTCCAGCATTCATTCTTCTCTCGCACTGGCTAGCTCAGGGTTGGGCCTTCTTTCTAAACTCAAGCCTACCAACCTGGCCCTTGGCCTGGGAGTCTGTTCTGGCCTGGGAGCTTATGGTAATAGCAGTAATAGTGATGTATACACACGTTACAATGCTTGAGCTAGGAGATTTACATCCTCAAGCAGTAAAGTTGGCCACCAATTCTGATGGACAAATTCACTGAGCATCAAAGGCTACTAGTCCTGATGAGTGTGTGTTACCTTCACTATCAGAAGCAGTAAGCGTACGTCCACCAGTCGCTGGGGAACCTGGCCATGAGAATGCTGCTACACTCATGTTCTTGTGAATTTCCCATTGGGCAGCAGGTTGGCCGTCATTTGACGGACCCTCAGTCGAATCCGGCACAGCTCTTCTCATATTCTTACATTTTTAATGAGAGGTGTCGCTCACACGCAAAATGCAATTTTCATGTTGAGGTTGATGAAGTGAAACAATCAGAAACAAAACTGGTAATTTCATGCTGCCTTTATTCAAATCTTTGGTGTACGGGTGTGATTGCTGCATTTCAAAAAAGCTATTGTGGAGCTCGAACAGTAGCAGAAAAGGACAATAAAAATGATCAAAAGGCTAGGCCAATTTGAAGTTACCGAAGTATTGTAGTGCCTGGGGAGCTTCACTGAGATGAAAGGCATGTCTGAGGGGGCATGAAGGCTGCTTGCAAAATCGAACATGCAGCGGAGAAAGGGAAAGAAGAGCAGTTTCTCTCACTCTTGCATAATATGTAAATTTCTGTTCATCCAATGAAGATCTGGGAGAGACAACAGGAAGCACTTCTTCACACTGTACAAAGCCCAGCTGTGGAATCAGCTACTGCAGGATACAGTGATGACCTCCAATGGGATGGCTTTAAAAGTGGATGAGAGGAGAAGGCAGGGAAGAGCCGCTAACCCTGGTGGCCCTAGGGAACCCCCAGTGTCAGAGACAAGATGCTTTCTCAGCTGTGTGAGTTGGACGGTGCTGAAGCAGTCATGCTATTCAAGTGAGATTCCGATAGGCATGTGGTTGTTCATACAGAGTGCGGGACTGGATTGGATTTTGGCCTGATACTTCATGGAAACTCTTGTGTTTCTGTTTTCTTCTGCTCTCGTCTACCCACCTTGCACCCCCTCCAGAACCCTGTTCTGAGAGAGGGAGAAGGAAGTGTGGCAGAAGAGAGAGCAGTGGGTGCTTCAGAAAAAACCCCGACCAACTCTGACAAAGGTTCACATGTAGGTTGGCTGAGCCTTTGCATGTGGGAAAAGACACCCGGATCACAAAGAGGGGACGGCACAACCCAGTTTAGTGAATAGAAGCGTGCTGTCTCCTCTCTAGGGGTACCGTACAAGGGAACCAAGCTCCAATTCTAAGCTACAGCAAGGGGCATGAACAGAACTTGAAAAATTGGAAGGCTGCAACAGAATTGGTTACCTGCGTCCAAGGACATATTTTTCCCCTTGCATTTTCACTGGCTTTGCTTCCCTTTGACTGAACTGTATCCTCCCAAGAGCTTCCTAGTCCTGCCAGATCCTTCCTCCCTTTCCTTGTCATGCTCACTGACATGATCGACAGCATGAACCCAACAGTCCCAACAGCGGTGCAAACCCGAGCCAGCCCATGCAAGGGCTTTCTGTTACCGTCTGTGCACCCCCTCCCTCCGACACCTGGTGTTTTGGCCTGCACTCCGCCTGAGATGATGTGGAAGTCAAGAGCTGCACTGGGCCGCTCTTTCCTTTCCGTTATGGCAGCACAGCCACAAGCGCTCGTCAGTGAGACAGTGACAGCACTGATGTCAGCCGAGGCCTGACATTAGGATTCGCTCCCTCCACCCAAGCCCTGCCGTGGCTTCAGTGCTCTGAACTTCTCTGAGGTTGGAACAGTGTCCTTGGAAAGGGTGTGGGGCAGTGGGGAGAGAAAGCGGGTCCGTGGGAGGGGTTGTGAAGGTCCAGGTTGGCTTGGCATGCAGGAATTCTCAGCTGCGCTGGCCTCCAGCCGTGCTCCTGCAATGGCCCGTGGTCTGTGCCATTCCGGAGATGGCTTACTTGAATCATCATTTATTAAAGTGGAGAAGGAAAAGAAGGTGTTTGCTGATTTCACGCAGGTGTGATTCGATACTTGCACGGATAGCTGGATACAGGATAGCTTGACAGTGAGAAACGTTTGCCCATGTTCTGGAAAATTCTGTTTCCAGTCCATGGAAGTAGAGAGAACCAGGGATGAAGGCGCCCGGAAGCCCACCGTTCTTGGTCTAAGGTGTGCACTCCTTCGAAAGACCGGTTCCATCGTGAACGTAACACCACGTGTAAGAATAACCGTAGTAATCGCAGTGGTGCTGTGGGGCGCAGCAGTGCTCCCAGCTATCCTTGTAGTCTGTGTAGCACCAGTAATAATCTGCCTCGTAAAGGCCGCAGGGGTGATCCGGGCGACAGGGCTTCCCGGTGACGGTCACCATGGAGTACTGAGGCGAGCAGTCCACCTCCGATTTACTTCCGGAACGACACTTGTGCTTTCCAGTGCTTGGGTTCAGGGTACACTTTTCCGTGCAGCAGTAGTCCCAGGTGTTCTTGTAGGAGGTGGAGCACCACTTGTAACTCTCTCCATGGTAGTCACAGTTTTGCCAAACGCATCTCCACCCTTTGGCGGAGACGGGAGACCCAGATCTTTGTTTTTGCTGCTGGATAGTGCACACTTTGGACCAGGATGGGTCTGTCGACCTCCGCTGTCTGAACATGGGGCTGCCACTGATAGACGAGAGCACACAGGCCATGTTGTTTTCTGAATAGAGCTTCTCATAGTGGTTGTGCCATTCTTGTCGGTCACGGAAGCCCAGCGAGAACTTCATGTCAGTCACTCGCAGGGAGTCCAGGCTCCCTGGGGTGCCGGATGTCCCTGGAGAAGGCAGTTGGTCCGATCCTGCCATTTGTGTTTCTGGAAACCACAGTGAATAACCATTTGAAATCATGTCCTGAAAGCTTTGAAACACGGAGTTTTTTATCCTTTCTAAAACTAGCTGTCCTGTGGCGCTGTTTTCATTGCAGTCATCAGCAAATATGCGCAAGGAATGACCGGGAGGAAAAGTGTGATGTTTTTCATAGTATTGTTTCAAGTCGTTTTCCAACATCCGCACAGGGAGAACAAGCAGGAACGGTTTTTCGCTGTTTTCTGCCAGAACACTGAAAGAAAATTTCAGATCCTGATTGAGGGGGTTGTCACAGCAAACGGCAGTCCAAATGTAATCCGGGACAGATACCCTGCTGTAGTCCCTGGTCCAGTCCGTTTCCTTGTCATAATAAGGGTCCGGGATTTTTTTCCCAGGATTGGGAACAGCTCCAGTCACCAGGTAGGGGGTCCCTCCATTTCCAATACAGTGCTCCAGCAGCTCACTCCTCAGCATCTTCTCCAGTTGGGCCCATCGGATCTGGTTGAAGCAGGAATCCATGGGCACCGCATTGGTCAGCGTGAAGGTGGCGTCTCGCCCATTGCCACTCTGGAAGGAGTTTGGGTTCAGGTGCCCCCGATCGTAAGCAGTGTTTTCATAGTCGACGTTCAGAGCTTGGCTTTGCTTCAGGTCCTCCTGTTTCTGGCTCTTTATTTCCCTCACATCCACCGGTATCCCCCACGTTCTTGCGTTGTCCACTGCGGCCTGCACTGCCCTCTCCACCGCCACGGCCTCAGTGGTCATCTCGGATGGCGCAGAGGGGAAGGCGAGCTGTCGAAAAAGCCATCAACTGGGATTAGTTCATTTGCAAGCAGGCTGCAGCGACGGCAAGGTGGCAGCCACTTCTTACTGCAGAAACCATCTGGCACACCTGGATGGTCAAGGTGAGCTGCACAAAGGTCAAGAGCAGCGAGAGAACCACTCTGCTTTGCGACCCTTCCCAGAAGGCCGTGCTTGGCCCTGCTGTGCGGCTGCATCCTTAGAAGCAAAGCACAATTTGCGAGGTTCAGAAGGTCATTTGACCTTCCGAGGCAAAACATTCTGCGTGCTTTTTAGAATCACCATTTTATTTTCGCTTTCTTTCTTTTGCAGGGGTTTCTGCATCATCAGGAATAACATTAGATCTTCAAGTATTTCTCTGCACAAATGGATATGCAGAAATTTTGTGTGTTCTAATTTTACCTTTTTTATTATTTTCATGTGGAGTTCCTATGCTGCATTTTAAGGGATTCTGATGCAGAGAGTTGGCAGTTGGGTGGGATATAAATATAGGAAATGAATTAAAATGGAATTCATAGGTCTCTGAGTTGGAGTCCGGACTGGAGGCCCATTCCCAGCCCCCTGTTTGCTGCCTTCCCTGGGTGTGGGCCATCTGGCACTACGGAATCCCACCAAAAGACCTCTATTTCTATGCAGCTAGGTAGCTTACCTGCCCATTCCTGACTAAGGTGAGCACCTAGTGGAACAATAGAATCCGCCCATTTTAGTTTCTCTTGGATTCTCTGTTTTTCAGACTTAAATTTTTCTGTCCCAAACTCATAGCAATTCAAAAGTGCTAAACATAAGAACATGAGCACAGGAACATAGATGCATAGAAACACAGGAACAGAGGGAGTCAGGGGGGTCAGGGGGTCTCCTGGGTCATCTAGTCAGACCCCTGGCAATCTCACTCCAGTATGGATTGGCCTTTCCTCCGGTTGGAGTGAAAGTTGCTTACTTTCATGTTCCTTCTATTTATTGCGAGACACTCAATCACTTTTTGATGGCAGTGTGAGAACTGCCCTCCTTCAGAAGTTCCTAGCCTATGAGGTTGTTCATCAGTTTGGGATTGGGCCAATTTTCCTTGGAAGAAGGAGGGTTTTCCCAAACCAGTGACTGGCACTCAGTCTGGGTCAGTCTACTTGTGGAAACACAGAAACGGAATGAGTGAGAAGGGGTCTCCTAAGCCATCTAGTCTGACCCCAGGCTCCAACCAGCTCCTCTCATGACATGCCCACCATGTGCACGTCCAGCCTATCCTTGAACACCCACACTGATGGGGCTTCAAGCACCTCCCTTGGAAGCCCATTCCACACCCTCGGGGTCCTGACTGTCAGGAAGTGCTTCCTGGCATCCACCCTAAATCTTGGTTCCCTGAGCTTTGCTCCGTTGGAGCGCGTCCTGCCCTCCATGGCAGGAGAAAACAGGACTCTAACTTCCTCCGTCTACTCAGAAGCGATCGTGGGAATCAGGTGGCGCTGCTCCCTCTCCCGTGTCACGTCTAGGGATGTGGGTGGAGGGGAGGGAATTCTGCAGGGTTCTGTGACCCCCAGCACCACGTGCAGGGAGTCAGAGGGGCTTTAGCCGAGTGCCTTGCTGGTTCCTCCTTGCCGGGAGATTGGATCCAGTTTCCACGTGGTCAAGGGGCTTGAGACTCCCACCCACTGTCACTGGTTGAGCAAGTTCATCAGAACACACTCATTAAGAAGAGGAATCTTGCTGGCCCTTATTTTTCCCTCATGATTCCACCAAGTTACCTATTCTGTATCCACACTGGAATTTAAACCCAGCCACACAGAGGCCTTTTGGCTCTGGCCTCTTGGCAGAGCAGCAGAGCAGCAGAGGCAGAGGCTGGGGGAGAGGCTGAGTGGCCAGGGGCCTGGCGAAGGCAAGGGAGGGGCTGGGAAGGGGAGCAGGGGGCCAGGAGTAGCGGAGAGGAAAGGGGCGGGGCCAGAGAGGTGGGAGGGGCCAGGAGGGAGCAGGGGGCGGGGTCTCATCCCTTGTCTGTGTCCCTTTGCTGCGGCCTGGGCTGTCCGGAGACTCCCTTCCCTGAGACACGGAGGTTTGTTTGTTTGTTTGTGCTGTGCTGTGCTTTGTTTTTCTTCCAATTTAAATGTAAGTTTATTTTATCCTTGTGTGTGTGTGTGAGTGGGTTTTCGTCTGGGAGAACTGGGCGAGTGGGAGGAACTGCAGGACAGACAAGGCGGGGGACCAAGGCAAGGTCTCGGAAGGGATCCCGATGGCAGACCAGGAGATGGCATTGGCGGGAGTCACGGGTGTTGCTGTCCGCTGCGAGAGCTGCGACATGTTCACCCTTCTCCCCCAGGAGAGGCAGGGATACACTTGCCCTCGGTGCAAGATGGTGACCCTGCTAGAGGAGGAGGTGAGGTGCCTGGGGGCTGAGAGAGCTCTCCAGGCCCCCCCGGAGCAGCCCCCCTCTGGACAGAGGGTTGAGGGAGAGGCCACAGGAGGAGCAGCTGCGGAGACATGGAGGTATGTCACCCACAGGAGGAGGAGGCCAGCACGGCCTCCTCCTTCTCCTGGCACCAATCTGGAGCTGGGAAACAGGTTCTCTCCACTTGGGGAGGCTGGGGCTGATGAGGCCTCAGGGGACCAGCAGGACCCCCAGCCTGGGATGACAGGCGGCAAGGGGGCCGCTGCAGGAGAGGCGAGGGCCAGGACACAGGTACGGCGGCGGGTGATTGTTGTTGGGGACTCCCTGCTGAGGGGCACTGAAGCAGCGGTGTGCCACCCCAACCTGGAGACAAGGGAGGTTTGCTGCCTGCCGGGCGCACGCATCCAGCATGTGAAGGACACAGTGGAGCATCTTGTTCACTCCGGGGGTCACTAGCTGCTCCTGGTGGTCCATGTGGGCACAAACGATGTGGCCAGGCAGGGTGTGGTTGGGACACCCTGCCTGGAGTACAGATGGAGTATAGATTAGGGGAGCTCTGGATGCGAGTGATCACTCCATCCTTTGCTTTGAGATCAGGGGACTGGGGACGTGCAGCAGGTCGAGCACTAGAAGCTGGGACTTCAAGAGGGCCAACTTTGGCCAACTGCAGGCCAGACTGGGGAAAGTCTCCTGGGATAGGTTACTGGAAGGCAAGCGAGTTGAGGAGGGGTGGATGGCACTCAAAAGGGAGGTTTTGGAGGCACAAGCCTTGACAATACCTCTAGTCAGTAAGGTGGGGAGGCGGAGGAGAGTGCCGCCATGGATGCAAAAGGAGGTGGTTAGAGGGATTAGAGGAAAGGGGAACCTCCGTAGGAAAAGGGCACTGGGGGAAATAGACAAAAGGGTATACCGGGAGGAGGAGGCCCGTTGCAGGAGGATTCTTCACAAGGCTAAGGCTGATTACGAGCTGAGACTTGCCAAGAAGATCAACAGCAACAAACAGGGCTTCTTTCAGCATGTAAATAGGAAGAGGAAGGGGAGACAAGTGGTGGGACCACTAAATAAGGTGGAAGGAGATCCAGTGACTGATATGGGGGAACAGGCACAGATGCTAAATGACTATTTTGCCTCTGTGTTCTCCCCAAAGCAGGACGGGGGACATCCGCATAGGAGATTAGATGAGGCTGGGGACTTAGGGGCACTGATTAGAGTCACCCCCCTTGAAGTCGAGGGGCTCCTCAGGGCATTGGACATTACAAGGCGCCAGGCCCTGACGGGTTACACCTGAGAGTACTTAGAGAGTTGGCAGGGGTTCTCTCACGCCCGCTGGCCTCCATTTTTGATACCTCGTGGAGAACGGGTGACGTTCCAGAGGACTGGAGGGTGGCATCAGTGGTCCCAATTTTCAAAAAGGGTAGTAGAAAGAACATGGGGAATTATAGACCGGTTAGCCTTACGTCCATTGTAGGAAAACAATGGAAAGGCTCATAATAGTGAGAGATCTAGTGATGCTAGATAGGGAAGGGAGGCTGGCAGCCACACAACACGGCTTCCGCAAAAACAGGTCCTGCCAGACAAACCTTGTGGAATTCAATGACAAGGTTTCGAGATGGCTAGATGGAGGGGATGCAGTGGATGTGGTATACCTGGATTTCAGCAAGGCCTTTGACAAAGTGCCCCATGATATCCTGGTGGAGAAACTGAGGAGTTTTGGGATACACCAAAGCACCGTCCGGTGGATTAGGGCATGGCTGATTGACTGAAAGCAGAGGGTAACCATTAACGGGGAATCATCGGGATGGCGGCCAGTGACAAGTGGGGTCCCCCAGGGCTCTGTCCTGGGGCCGATCCTGTTTAATCTTTTCATTAACGACATGAAAGAAGGGGTGAACAGTCTGCTGATCAAATTCGCAGACGACACTAAAACTGGAGCAGTGGCCACAACTGAGGAGCAGGTACTCCAGATCCAAAAGGATCTGGACAGACTATGGAAGTGTACAGGAGACAACAGGATGGCGTTCAATGCGGATAAGTGCAAGGTCTTGCACTTGGGGCATAGGAATAGTTGTCATAAGTACAAGTTAGGTGACAAGTGGCTGGAGAGCAGCACTTGTGAAAGGGACCTCAGGGTGCTGGTTGACTGCAGGCTGAACATGAGCCAGCCGTGTGATGTGGTGGTCAAGAGGGCGAACGCCACCCTTGGTTGCATAGCCAGAAGTGTGGCTTCTAGAGTGAGAGAGGTGTTACTACCACTCTACATGACTCTAGTGCGCCCGCAACTGGAGTATTGTGTTCAGTTTTGGGCCCCTCATTAAAGGAAGGATATAGCCAGGTTGGAGTCAGTGCAGTGAAGGGCCACAAGGTTGGTGGCCAGTTTGCAGGGGATGCCGTATGTGGCAAGACTGAGGGAACTGGGTCTCTTCAGCCTGGAGAAGAGGAGACTCAGAGGGAATCTATTGGCGAGATGCAGGTATGTGAGGGGATGTCACACGGAGGTGGGTAGAGACCTGTTCTCCCCTGCAGAGGAAGGCAGGACGCGCTCCAACAGAGCAAAGCTCAGGGAACCAAGTTTCAGTTCGGATGCCAGGAAGCACTTCCTGACTGTCAGGACCCCGAGGGTGTGGAATGGGCTTCCCCGGGAGGTGGGTGAGGCCCCATCGGTGCGGGTGTTCAAGGATAGGCTGGACCTCCACATGGTGGGCATGTCGTGAGCGGAGCCGGCTGGTGCCGGGGGTCAGACTAGATGGCCCGGGAGGCCCCTTCTGACTCGCTCTGTTTTCTATGTTTCTATGCCAGGCTAGTCCAGAAGACAGCACAACAATCGCTACATAAATTCTCTGAAATTTGGTGTGGTCAATTCCCTGGCCAGGAAATCCAGTTCTGACAAAGAGGGGAAAATGTAGGAGCCATTTGTTGATTGCCAATTAGAGCCTGGGGGAGGAGGGTGAAGATTTAGATTTCTGAACCCTCCCCCCGACACACACACACAAATTGTGAAACTGGAATACCAAGCAAATCCTTTGTCTGGTTCACATCCCCACTTACAGGTATTGGCAAAGAAGCATGTTAAGAAAATCCAGCCTTTTGTCCCAGAAATATCTGAAAAGGTTTCTAGTCAATTAACTGACCAATTATGAATAAGCCCTTAATTCTGCAGTACAGAAGTTCACCTTTGCACAGTGTTGGAAATCCCTGCCTTGGATCATTTTTGGATACCTACCAGAGGCTCTATGTACCAGGTGCTCCTCCTCCCCGGATTGCTGTCGCCAGACTTCAAAGTGTAAGCTGACCAGTATGGGATTCGAAAGCCTTGATGGTACAGAGTAGCAAAATAGTAATGGTTCTCATAATACTGACAAATGTGTTTTAGCTGCACATCAGAAGGCCACGTTGGTGCTTGTGCCTTGTAGAAAAATTGCTTGCAGTTCTCGAAGTTCTGCCGCACTTCTGCCAGGACTGGCCATGGCAGCAGAATAGTGTAAACCACAAGCCGCAGGAACGCCATGGCTGGGGGATCTTGAAAATGCCTGCGCCTCTCAGACTCATCGTGTATTTATTGCCCGAACAGAACGCGATCGGCACTCTGCTCCTCTGCAAAGTCGACTTTGGTTTATTTGCGAAGGATTATGAAACAGAAGCAGGATGATGAAACAGGGCCAGGATTGGCAGCGCAGGTGAGGTTCGGGGTGAAGGATCCTGTGGCGTGAACTTTCGCGTGCCCGTCTTTGTTCCCTATTTCATGGCAGGGTTACAAAACGGCACAGTGAACACAGGGTTCAAGCCTGAAGCAACACGCCTCCCTGGCGACCTCCGAAAACCTGCAGGTTTAACGGTAAGTGATCGGTTTCCCATCCCTGGCGATCCCTCTGGGCTTGGGATGAGGCCCGTCGGAATCCGTCCCTCTTGTTCCCACGGACTTGCTGGCTTGGGAAGCACGTGGGGATGGGGGGGGGCCTGCAAGGTGTGTGCAGGGCAGGTTGGGCAACCTGCAGCCTTCTCGCACAGCAGGTGCAGCACTGCCGAGACAGGCTGTTGCATGTGGCGGGGATGATGGGCCCTGCTCGTGCGGCTCTCCCGTGGGTTCCCCTTCCTGGAAGCACCACACACACATGCTCGTGCTGGTGTGCAAGAGGAGGGTGCTTGCACAGCGCATGAGGTTCCCTGCCTGGCGAGAGCCCAGTAGGGCGGGAGCTTTCTGTGCGAATTTGGCCTCGGGGCTGTGGCAAAAGGAGTCGGACCAAGGGAATCTGCTGGATTCCCAGTCCCAAAATGGATTCCCCACTTCCTAGGGGTGCCCCAGCTTGCCACACAAGCCGGACGGCCCGAGCAACCCCATGGCTGCCTGCTGTCTTCAGGGGAAGAGCTGAGGGGTCAGGGATGCTCTGAGGTCAAAGTTTGAAAAACAGTTTGTTGATCAGACTTGAGTCCAGCCAAGTCAAGCATGACTCGCGGCCAAGGACTTCCAGAGAAGCGGACGCCCCGAGGGGCTGAGTGGCCAGACGAGCTCAGCAGTTCAGTGCCGGCAAGTGTCCAGTGAGACACGCTGGGGTGAGGACACTCCATTCCCGTGGCTGGTTTTTGTAGTGGAAATGGATGGATAAGAGGATTTGCGGGGGATAGAGGTTACTCTGAACCTACTGGTGGGTGCTGATCACGCATGCTTCCCATCTTCAGCTATGGGATAGCTAGACATGCCCATGGTGGGCATGTCGTGAGTGGAGCCGGCTGGAGCTGGGGGTCAGGCTAGATGGCCCGGGAGACCCCTTCCAACTCTCTCTGTTTCTATGTTTCAATTGCCGCATTTGGGAGAACCAAGTTTGGCCCCGCAGTTTTATACTGCCAAAGTGCCCATCATATTTGGAAGCCAGCATTGGGGCTGGTCAGCAAGGAGACCCATGATCCACATCTAGGAATATGTGCCACCGGTGAATAACTATGAGCAGCAGATTGGTGAGGGCTGCAGCACTTATTCCATCCCAGTTCATCCACAGCAGCTCCCGCTTCCCAGCATAGAAATGAAGCAAAAGAGAAGGGAGGATTTGCTTTCTGTTGGTTTTATTTAATCATCAACGCAAACGCTTACAGCAGCTGCATGCACGAGGCTACCCAGTGTCCTCTGCTAGCCGGCCAGAGGCCTTTGAAGCCATTTGCAGATCTGTGTTTGATCTGGTGAGGGCCTCCGTGGCTTGATTTCACGAGTGATGCAAGTTCATGGTGCCCGGGATCCCCCCCACACATACACATGGCATGGCCTGGCAGAACCCCCTGCCAGAGGGCAGAGGGCCAAATCTGCATTCAGAGGAAAGGAAGCGGCCTCGGACCTGCAGTCCCAGGCCCTGTGGGCGCAGCCATTTCTCCAGCTCCTCTGGAGGCAGAACAGGGGTCCTGGAGGTGCGGAAGGGAAGCGGGCTGGGAGGTGGAACCGAAGGACTCACCACTTTCCCGGCCTCAGTCCCCCCGGCAATCAATGCTTTCACTGGAGCTGCCCCATTGATGGAGGATCTGTGATTGGGGAGAGAGGGAGAGGGAGACAGTGAGGGGGAAAGAGAGAGAGAGAGAGAACCGCTACACTCTTCCTATGTTTATCCTGTTATCAATCATTGGAACCAGAAATGAAGAGAAACCGATTGGCAGCTTTCGTGTCTAAGCTACACACTTTTCCCACTTGCTAGATGAATTGTCAACGTAACACCACGTGTACGAATAGCCGTGCTTATCACAGTGGTGCAGCGGTGAGCAGCAGTACTCCCAGTTGCCTTTGTAGTCTGTGTAGCACCAGTAGTAGCTTTCGTCGTAAAGGCCGCAGGGGTGATCCGCACGGCAGGGCTCCCCGTTGATCGCGACGGCCGAGTACTGTGGTGAGCAAGTCACGGTTCGGTCTCCCGACCGGCACTGGTACTTCTCCGCGGTTCTGTCGTAGGCGCACTTGCCGCTGCAGCAGTAGTCCCAGTCCGAAGAGTGCGAGGTCGAGCACCACATGTATTTTGTCCCGCTGTGATAGTCACAGTTTTGCCAGACACACCCCCACCCCTTGGCCGAGACGGGGGAGCTGACCTTGCCCTTCTGTTCCTCCAGCGTGCACACTTTGGGCAGAAAAGAGTCTGCCTCTTTCTGGTTTCTGGAGATTCCCCGAACAGAGGAGAGAACGCAGGCGGTGTTTTCTTTACTGGACAGCGTCCTAGCAAAACTGTCCCATGCTGTTAGGTTTTTAAAGCCGAATGAGAAATCAACACTGGTCAGCTGGAGAGAATCCGAATCCACATCCATGCTCGTTGCTGCCACTTGAGTGCTTCGGTCCAACTGGTCCCTTTGTGAATCGGAAAACAGCAGAACATAATAGTTCTCAACCAGGTCTCGAAAGCCTTTAAACATGGCATTGTTGATCGCGTTTAAAACTTCTCTCCCTTTTTCGCTGTCTGCGTTGCAATTATCGGCAAACAATTTTACGGCTTGACTGGGAGGAAGATTGTACAGGTCGTGGAGGAATGCTTCTAATTCGCTCACTGGTAAAATACGCAGCAATGATTCCTCCTTGTTCTCTGCCAGAAATGCAAAGGAGAATTTGAGATTCTGGTTTGCATTGTCACAGCAAACGGCGGTCCAGATGTGGCTGGGAACAGACACCCTCTTATATTCTCTGATGCGGTCACCTTCATTATCATAAACAGGGTCGGGGATTCTCTCTGCGGGGTCAGGAACAGTGCCAGTCACCAGGAAGGGGGTCCCTGGGCAGGATCTGGTCAGCTGCTCCTTCAGGGCAACCTCCAGTCTGGACCATCGGATCTGGTTGAAGCAGGGATCCATGGGCACAGCATTGGTCAGCGTGAAGGTGGCATCGCGACCCTTGTTGCACTGGAACAAGTTGGGGTTCAGGTGTCCGCGGTCGTACGTGGAGCCTTCATAGTCGATGCTGATGGCCTGGTTTTGTTTCAGCTGAGCTGTTGGCAGACCTGATGCTGCCTCAGTGAGCATATTCGGTGATGCAGTTGGAGATGTGAGCTGTCCAAAGAAAGAGACCGGGACCAAGATGAGAATGGACTAAAATAACCCACTTCTCAATATAAGCATTTAAGTGCAGGTCTAATTCCATCATCCATCCATCCATCCATCCATCCATCCACCTTACAAGATATTAAATCCAGGCTTTGAATGCATCAAATTTACTGGTATTTTGCAACCCAAGGGACCTTCCACAGGTGCCAACGGACACTGCAGTGATGTAAAGTGGCCTTTACATGTTTAGCTCCACTCACTATTTTAATGCTCATATCCTTATAAAAAAAGATCTTCCAAAATGTGAGGGGGAACTATCCAATATGGCTGAAAAGGGCATCAAAAAGTTTCTCCTTCATGCATGTTCAGGGACAGATTTTCCTTAAATTTGGCTTTTCTTGAAGCAGCTGTTTTCATGGCAGAAATTATTTGGTGGATACCATGAAGGGGACATAGCAAAATCTACTTCAGATACTCAAGGCATATATAAAATTGCAAATTTCGGAATTTTAATTCACAAAGTCGTTCAACATGAAAACACAGAACGTGAACTGCCTGGGTTTCTCTCACTTTGTGATTGCCTAGGCTTAGGTCTGTGCATTTCTCACTTTTCACATCAGTTTTAAATTCCAGGGTGCAGTGATCCATATGCAATTGAAAATACTGCACATAAGTATAGATACGTTTGGTAGTCAAACTAGAATGAGTCTTGGATTTGGGCATGTCCCATGACCGGAAGGTCCCATGCCAAAGCAGGGACCCTACTTGGAGACCCAGGGGTGGGCCTTTGTCCATGTCAGCTCGGAAAAGATCATGGGAGGTTTGCAAGCAGGACTGGAGGGCTGGGGTGCCTCGCTCTATCTTCCACTGCATTCTTAGGAATAGAATTGGGGAGAGGGGATTCCAAAGGGTTCTGCAGCCCCCAGGACCACACTGAGAAGGGAGGTTGTACTTCTGTTCAATGCCCTCTTGGTTAGTGATCGAATTCAAACTGCGAATACTCAAAAAGGTTGAAATTGTCTTCCAGACTCATTGAGCTACTCACAAGATCTTTGAAAATTAAATAAATTCCTCATCTGCTCCTAATTTTGATCTCATGATGCCAGCAAATTATCAAGTCCATATTCAAAGAAGGCTCAAACTTTCATGCCTATGCCAGGCTGGTCTGCTTGCCTTTATTACCCAGCACAAAGCTGGGACAGCTTCTCTCCTGAAATCTGGAAGATGTTCTGACCTTCCCTCCATGAGGAATGACTGTTTCTCAGGGCATAATTCAATTCGGAGAAAGTCGTGAGGGAGTGTGGGGAGAGATACAGTCATAGGTGAAATTTTAATGAGAGGAACAAAGATTTGAATCTTCAGGTTCAGATTTAGGCTTAAATGGATGCAATCGAGCTCTGATCTGGTTCAGGCCAAATCAGGATGTTTTCTGAATTGGCGGAGTCCAAATTAATTTTATAGTCAGAGCTTGAGGAAAGGGAGCATTTCATCTTGTTCTTCTTTTAATGGAACCCTCCTCTGATTTTGCAACAGAGTTCTCTAATAAAGAGTAAATGTTTTCAAAGGAAAAA